TATGTATGTATATAAAATCTATATAAAAAGCTACAAGTTCTTACTCACTGATGGAAATAGAACGCATACTTGTCGACATGCTGGAAAAAAGATATTTATACCGTTGTACGCGGATAGGCTCCAAAGCAAAGAATCAAATATGAGAAGACCTGAATGTGGAAAATGTAAACGAGTGATCAACGGCCTGCAAAAATTATAATACATGGGGGGGATTTAAGTGCATTTTTATGATATGACTCTAGTCAATATGGCCGTCATAGAAGCGTTCGTTGGCGGCAGAAAAAAAATTGGTCAGATCCCGATGGAATGACCCGGTATGTGGGGCTCTATAAGTTTTTGATCATAATTTGAGGTCGACATTTATTTTTTGCCTCTTTTCAATACATATGGCTGCCATACAAACTTTTTTAGCGGCAGATAAAAATTTGCTCTAATTCGATTGAAAATGGACATGTCGGGGTCTCTAGGAGTGTTTAATAATAATTAGCGGTCAAAATTTATTTTTCGTCATTTTTCAATATGGCTGCCATACAAACTTTTTTGGTGGTAGATAATTTTTTTTTCTAATTCCGCCGAGCCCGACCCTACCGTAGGTGGGGTACAGGGCTCGTATGCAACTATAGATGATGTTATTTAAGACTGAATTGTTAGGGCGCGTTCCCACTATGTCATCATGTTTTCTTATCGTTGGACGACTGTCGTGTCTAGCCTGCTCCCATATCACGACTATCTGTCGTCACGACATAGTGGGAACGCGTCCTTATTGCAAATATACATAAATAAAGCTCTTTATTATTATTGTTATTGTTATTGTTGCCGTTGCCTTTGCCGTTGCCGTTGCCGCTGCCGTTGCCGTTGCCGTTGCTGTTGCCGATGCCGTTGCCGTTGCCGTTGCCGTTGCCGTTGCCGTTGTTGTTGTTATTGTTATTGTTACTACCACTACCACTACCGCTACCGCTATCGCTATCACTATCACTATCATTATCATTAATTGACATTCAAAAAAAAAACTTTAGGTGCCGGTATTTTGAAATTTACCAAAACGCAAAGGCATAGTTTATGAGGGCGGAAGTAGGTATTGATAATGTAATGAAATCTTCACCAAATGCTAAGAAATAAATACATTTTGTGTCCTTCAATTATTAAGTTAATTAAATTTTAATTAAGCACGTAATTGCGGGAATCCTCTGGATGCAAGCTGCGCAAGACTGGTCGTTGTAGCGATGCGACTGGTCGTTGTAGCGGTCTTTGGGGCAGGCTTATGTCCAGCAGTGTACATCTTTCGACTGAGAGGATGATGACAAAGTGCGTAATTGAACTTTAATAATTAAACCATAGTGTTAAACTTTTCAAACTTTTGCTATATAGAGTACCTAATCGAGTATGTGAAGCTTAATTTTTTTTTATAATGTTATAAAACGGCTTATAAGACGGCAAGTGACTGGCTGCAAGAGGACAACTCCGACTGCGGCCCTCGAAGCGATGCTGAACCTGCCCCCTCTCCCACTGTTCATCAGACAGGAAGCGGCGACAACGGCAGTGCGTTTAAACAAAGCTGGCCTATGGAAGTACAGAAGGACCCCACATACAGAAATCCTTTACAAGATTGTTAAGGAGGAACCGCTACTGGAGGCGGCTGTGGACAGGATCCCCAAATAATACATTTTCGACAAAAAATACAAGATACCGTTGTTTGAAGATCCCAATGAAGAACTAAACCCCAAAGAGGTTCGCATCTTCACTGACGGGTCCAAAACAAATGTAGGAACAAGTACTGAGGTATTCTCAGAAGATCTCAATATCAGGATTTCAACACCACTTGGTAACCATAACACAGTATTCCAAGCTGAATGTATGGGTATCAAGTTGGCAGCGGAAGCAATCATAGCTAGAAGAGTACAGAACTACTCAATTCGTATACTCTCTAACATCAAGTAACGAAACCAACAAGTCGTACACCTGATGGTAAGCTTCACGCCTGTCCATAACAGTTGCTGTGCCACTCAGAGCTTTAAATCGCAAAGATCTAAGGGGCACTACAAATGCGCATGTCACCCTGAGACATAAGTTGACAAGTCTCATGTGCCTGTAATTTCACCCTTCAAAACCGGAACGCAGTGAGGTAAATGTACCAATCTTTGACACTGTCCCAATGTATGACACTTCTTCATTTTCTTGAAAAAATAAGATAACAAATATTGATATAACTCCAAAACCATGTTAAATGTACTAGTAATGGCATATATGAATTCCGTTTAGAAGCTTTCTTCGATTCACTGAATATTTTTTCAGTATTGCGATAACTTTTGCGAACAGGTGATCCAGAGTTGAAAGCGAGTTGGTGTTCTTCCAAAAATCAAGATTTTCAGTAGTTTAAGTCCATTTATTAGTCGGAATTTTGTTAATTATTGATAAGTGTTTGTTAAAACGATTAGTTAACTGTACAAGCAATCTATTTTGTGTATATGTTATATATTCATTGGTGTATAACGTTTATATTTTATTTTGGAGGCATGTCAAATACTGGTGCAAAATTTCAACGTAGTAATAGTTGACACCCATATCAAGCACTCGCACAACTGAATATTTTTTTAAACTTAATTTCGACCATTTGGTAAGGACGGAGAACATAGATTTGGATTACTTACTGACATTACTGCTTGACGGCAGAAATAGGTAAGGTGGCAGTACTACCCTGGACGAACTCTTTCACAAGGAGCTCTACTGCTACTATAGAGTCACGAGACACTTAAGTCCACTTGCACTAAACTTAAATAAGACTCAAGCCAATGCTTATATTTATAAGACACTCTTAACACAATGTATTAAGTGTGTCTTTTGCATTGCAAGCGTTCGTTTAAGACTTAAAAGTTTAGTGCACATGAACATTAGGATTTAAATTCAACTCTATGCTGTCCAAAGTATCAAGCTCGACGTACACCTGATACTAACGAAGAGCATTTTATCCTTATCATCACACGTACCGTCTGTATATCATACCTATTAGGCAATAATTCGTTATTTTATCAATTTAGACTCGTTTTATTATCTCGCTAATTTCGTTACAGATAACATTCGTTTACCCACCAGTTGCTACACTTCAGTGCTATGTGACATTGTATTTTACGATTAATATTCAGTATTCAATTACCGTATAATTAATTAAATAATCTTCTAATACAGTGAACCCGTTGCTGGTGAACCGGTGGATTTTCCGCTGGCTCTTGTGTTGACAATGTCCTATAATCTATACACGAAAGCGCCGCCCGTTAAGGATAAGGTAAATATTATTGTTAATTACATAATTACCAATACATTCTTGTTAGATACCTCTTCATTGGATAGGAGGATAAAGGAAAACACCTTGAGGCAATATGCACGTAAAGGAAAGCCCGATCCTAAAACAATCTTCTAAGAGATGTGACTAACCAGGGATCATGACATAATTGTATATGCGTAGAAAAGCTTATCTCGAGTAATAGAACATAGACGAGTCGATGCAATATTTGTTAAGGACGGTTTTCTTCCTTTCACGTAATTACCTTACCACATAGAAAGAGATAGGCTCTTTATGGGCTTAATTTAAAATGCATCGAAAATACCAGTTACTTACCAACAATTTATTTCAATAATCTCAGAACAGAATACCTACTAAAAACCGACATCAAAAGTCAGTCATTCTTTAGTTTTCCACCCTTAGGTGAAATATTTTCTTCAAATTTAAATGGGACCAAAACTTATCGCATAACGTATATACAAAAAAAACATAGTCGAATTGAGATCCTCCCCATCCATCCTCCTTTTTTAAGTCGGTTAAAAATAGGTACTCACACGTCTTGTAATAGGTACCCACGTTTCTTTTGCAAACACACAAAATCTCATGAAAAGAAACCGTATATCGATAACAAAATATAGGCCACATCGACCTATTTAACCTATAAGAAGCTTTTGCGTTAGTTGTATATAAGAGTATTGTAGTAGTTTTTTTATCGAGTTTGATCAGAAATCTATCAAAGGTACTCAAGCGCAGCGGTGAGACAGTGAACGGTCGGTCACGGCCAAGGCCAAACCGATTTTTAGCCGAAAACAAGAATAAATCAATAAAAACCCTTTCACCGAGAAAACAGTTCAAAGTAACTTTAAATAGTATTCACAAACTGTCAATACCTTCATTCCAATTCCACATTTCCATCTTGTTTAGTGATCTCTTGAAGTAATAAACGATTTCAAATAAGTGGACTTTATCGGAAGTTACGGTTAGTGAAAGCACAATGATGAATTCTGTTCTGCGAGAGATTGTTGCGCGAGCTTCGGTGGAAGTCAAACATCAAATGGTTAGTACAGCATGATACCTATGAAAACCTGCAACCGTCTAAAAGTACCAAATGGTAACTCATTTAAGTTCATTAGGGAAACAAATTATACCGACAGTATGTAACTAAATAAGTACAATTAGATAAAATATAAATAGTAGTAAATACTTACATAAGCTTAATGTAATTTCTTTGTAAGTGTACTAAAACATTTATTATGATACTCCTTGTTTAAAATCAAAAAAGCAAGTACCTAGGTACATAGGCATCCCATTTCGAAATCTATTGTCTCCCGTGCTCTACATTCTCGATCATGAGAATATACAGCAAAGATAATAGACATTTATAGAGAACGATCAAAATAATCGAACTGGTTTAACGAAAAGAAATTGCATTATATTTAGTACTTACACAAATTTATTTACAGAAAGCGATCTATTGCCACATCTAATTGCAGGTTCATAAATTATTTTAATTTTAAAATGTATTCATGTAGGAATATATAAACAAGGAAATTTTACTGACCTACATTTGTAGCCAACTTCATAAACGAAAGACTTAAGTCAAAGCGCCCTCTAGCGCGCACCGTGTGATAATAATTTGACGTTTAGCGATAAGAGAAATATTGTTTTGAATTTTTTACATTGCTTATTTTCCTATTTTTCAACAATTTTTTACGGTTACCCACGAGACCATGTCACATTTGTTATTCCACATTGGTCCATTAAAGTAAAGAAGACTGTGATATCCAGAAACCTTAAGGTTATGTTGGAGAAACAAAGCCTTTGAATAGGTATTATAATCTTCTCGTTTAAATAATTAAATAGGCTATTAATGTTTACTGTTGTCCTCGTATTTTGTAATTTGGATGTAACACTTACTATACCTGAAGCGGCAAGATTTGGAATTTGTACAAAAATTGACTTTTATTGTTATTATATAAAGGGCTGCCACGATATATGTAAAAGAGATGAAACGATTCGAAAGACAAGACATTTGGAAGATAATTTGACAGAAGACTGTGGATATACTAAAGAAATGGCGAGTAGTTCCAGTTTAGATGGTTTGTACAGACCAAGAAGTGCACTAGCTCGCGCTCTGTATGAAAAGCAAAGAAATGATAGGAGACTTCAAGAATATGATCACAGTGAGGTAAAGTACTACAATTTTTACTTCATTTGAATTAAAATACCATTAAATTATATGTTCGAAAGTCACTGATTCTTATATACTAACCTTCATGTAGTAATAATGATTTAATAAGCATTGAAGTGGTGTAGAATTAGGCGATTGTGATAATAAAAAAGAATTGTTTATTATTATATTCGACGGCCTCCATGGTCGTGTGACTTGCACACCAGTTTACAGGGTGTCGAAGTGATCCCCGGCTGGGTCAATATAGAAAATCGCTTTCTATATTGACTCTTGTCTGGATGTTTGTAGTACTGTCATTGTTGCCATAACACAAATACTTTAGTTACTTTGAGATCAGAGCAACATATGTGATTTTATCTAATATTTATTTATATTTTAGCTTTGTTATCTATACAATTAAACATTTAAGATGGTTTCAATTTGAATTTCACTAAGTAAGAGCATAAAAAAATTGTATGAACACTGGATGTTATCTATACATACTTGTTTCAGAGACCTGATCAGATATTGAAATTTGTAAGCAAATGTTATAATAGGGCTGCGCTTCACAAATATTTATAACTTCGTAAGAATGAGTTCTACTAATATGGTTTAAACACCGTTTTTGTGTTTTTATGACCTAATAACAAAAAATTATTCAGTTTTTAATAACAATTATCTGTTAATTTTATGCTGTAACTAAACTCTACTATAAAGATTTGTTATGGTACAGTTCTAATTGTCAGTTGGCAACCCTGACTGTACAAAGATAAAAAAACCATAATGATTAAACTCTCTCTAAGAATAAAATATTTGAAAGAACTTGAGTAATCATACAGTTAGGATTTTAAAATAAGTTCATTTCGCAAATAATTTATTAATGCACCAAATAATGTTTATTTTAGGCACAAAGTTTATTAAAAAGTAAAATTTTGTTATCCCGCTTGATTTTATTGTCTGCAAGTTAAGTTTTCATGCATCAAAGTTATACTTACCTTGTCTTTGGTAAACATTGAACATAATATATTCTTTTACTGGCAGTTACCATTAAGAAAAAATATACTATAGTGGACCAATTCCCACTTCATGTTTTTAACACACACACTCATATGTCTACCACATGCACTAGGGAAACCCTATATCACAGGGACCACATATTGACAACAAATACACCCAAATTCATGAGAGAAATAAATGTAGGCCATACAAATATTCCTCCCGGCCCAGGAATTGAACACGGAACCCCTGAGTAGTAACAGTTTGGGCATAGAGGTAGTTATGTTTATAATATTTTTCTTCCTTTTACTATAAACAAAATCTTCATTTAATACACTTCAATGCCGATGGTAACTTGTCTATGTATTTATGTATCCAAACAATTTGATACAATAACTCTGGAATAAATACTTATGTGGTATTCATATATATACAAGAGACTGTAAATATAACATTTACGCCATAATTGTACATTTTGATTTGTAACATTCAATATACTCAACAGCCATTTGTAATAATATAGTTTTTGTTATGTATTCAAGCTTGATTCCTTATATAATGGCCATCCATTTTCAAAATGGACTTAAAACTGTAATTGATTAAAATAAGTACTTTATTATGGTGTATGGGAAAATTGCTTTTTTAACAATATTTTTTACTAAATGCATGCATCTGCTACTATTAACAAACATGATTTACTATTTTGTGCAATGGCCACTGTTATCAGTGACAGTACAACTTATTGTGCATGAAATTAATTTGTAAATGTGGCATCATTAAACATAAAATGGCATTGTTTAACTGCCTCCATGGCAGAACAGTTACCATGCATGTAAGTTATGGTTGTCTATATGTGTGTCCATGGCACCCGCGACACAGGTTTTCTCTAGTGCGGGGCTACGTTGAATGTGTGCGTTTTTTATTGTTATTATTATTGATTAAATAAATCACTATTCAAATTATATTTCTAGTAAATTACAGATGATTGATTAAATACTGGCAAGATCAACTGTATGCTAATACAATCACGAGGGAAGTTTCTTCTAGCTTTAATACTTGCCACTGTCGTGGTTTCAGACTATGTTTGCATGTGTTGTTTTACGCACGTTATAATTATTCGCTAATTGTTGTATTTCTACAGTATTTGTGTCTCACAAAATTTTAATGAATTAAATACTCATTTGACATTTCATTCAGAAAAATAATAAATGTTTACCATTATAGTTATCATCAGCCAATTAAGATAATTAAAAAAAATAACTTGCATTTCGCAATTACATAACAACTGCTCCGAACCTGAGAGCTTGTTCCTATTTAAACGTCGTGTTTTTTATCTCTTCAAAGATTGTTACGTTTAAGTGTAATGTTTCTCTGAATTCTTAAGTCCTTTATAATTAACTTATAAATTAAACTATAATAGTGTTGTTAAATTGGAGAATATAAGTGTACCCGAAGTTCATTATTGACAAATTATTTTCTTGATAATTTGGTAATATACTACAATAATTAGTTATAATTTATTCCGCTCTGGTTTTGTTCATTGTTTCGTGATGCCTTTATAATTATAATTTTCAATAGCGATACACCTTTAAACATGTGTATATATGCGAGTATACATGCGAGTCTTTGTTCACCATATCTGTATTTACTTACCTTATTTCAAGTTTGTATTATATAAATGAAATGTAATTTTCCTTAAAAGGATAGGATGCGTTGCTTGTTCATAGTGTTGTTACAATTTGACTAAAATTGAGCCTCGCCAAATCAAACTTCCCGACTATAACGATGGCACGTTTGTCGGGTACGCCGCGCCGTTTGATTGCTGGATCCAATTTTCCTTCCCGGGACAATTCCCTCAATAGGTAGCTCACCTACCGTCGTCGTCTAGAGCTCGCGGGGGTATTTCATCCAAGGCGCGCACGCAATCGCAGGCTCACGTGTGCCTCCGTAACGAGGATATATTTGCGTATGAAGAACACGAAATACCTCTGAATTGTGGAGGGAATAAGACATTCAACCCCTCCTCCCCCAGCCACCCGCGGCCCCTCGCGACCCTTTTAACTTTCATCTCTGTCGAGTGCTCGGTCCACATACTTTTGTTCTATTTGATCAATGTTATTAAAATGTCGCGGGCTCGCAAGATTACAAACATCTGACTATCGTATAGGCAGTTATCGGAAGTAGGACATTGAATTTCAGTGCGTCAGAATTCAAGTTTCTCTTTCAAGAGTGAATCATATGGAATATTAGTTTCTTAGTAAGTCAAAGCGACTGTATTGTTTATCAGCAACCAAAAAGTGAACTTGCAGACTTATAATGAGCCAAAAAACCGCGTGACATTGCATCTTTGACAATTTTATCGTAAATTACAGAGTTAACTAACAATCGTAAGAGCAATGCTGGACGCGCCGGTATGGGTACCTTCTATATCATACGAACGTGTCTAACTTTGCCTACATTGCCACTTTTCGTCAGGCAAGGTTGTGAACAAACGCTGACTTAATAATATTAAATTTAAATCGCGTTATAAGTATCTGTATGTCTAAAAGTGCTAAAAATCTATTTTTTATGTTACAAACACTCGATTGCGATACAGTAAGGAACGCGTGCGTATCTCAAAGCGTCTCACGATCGTCGCCAGTAGCCGTAATCACTGCTATCCATTCTGTTAAAACCACTCGGGGATAAATTAGTTAAGTAGACGCTTCCGTTAATCGTCAGTCGCGCGGACCCGGTCGCTTGCTCTAAATGGATTAATTTATACTTATAAACGAGGACGTTTTCGGTGTCGTACGAGGATGGGGTGATTGTGTTGTGATTGCTTGCGCTTCCTATGGAGGCATCCTTTAATAAACGCTTTGGCCTCGCCTTGGACACTGTCGTCATAATAATCGTCGCTTCACATCGATTACACGAATTAAATACAACGGTAACCCTTATAAGTCATGCAGGGCGGCTTATGTCTTAAGTGGATTTGGGTAATCGATTGCTAGCAGAATCTCCTCTAATCCTAAAAAGTTCTTGATCCATTTTATTTGGATAAGTATGTTAGACTTATCTGAAACTACTCTGAAAAATGAAACTTGACTTCTCAAAGGGCGACGTTGTACGCCGATGATGCCGATACCGACCTAAGACTGTCCACACAGAGACACCTGAGTCGCGTTGCGCGCATCGCTCACTGCAATCTGTACATTATTTCTCCATTGTTCGCGTAACGAGCCCCTCGCCCCCCTTACTGACTCCCCGCACCCCACCCCCCTGCCTCCTGGTTCCCATACCCCGCCCGGGGCGGCGGGACCTCGCTCGCGCCTTTCTTTTATCATTCCTCTCTTTATTTCCGAATGCAAATAATCCTCCACACGTGTGAGAACCGAAACCATTGTTCTCGCCTACCTCCCCCTCCCCCGCCAGGGACCTTGGTGACGCAATCTTTTTCTCCAGCATTTAGGCAAATGTATCCTGAGCTCTTATTATGTGCTTTAATACTTTGTAGTAACGGCATGTACAAATATAATAATAATTTAATGTACAGACATAAGTAACGCTTTGTTAAGGACAACCCACATTTATCATAGTACACTTCCTTTGATCGTTAAAACTTCTTTCAGTGACTAGTTTAATAATTTAAATGTAATAATAAAAGTATTTTTCTATGTAACAGATTGTTCTCCATAAGACGAGCAATTCTCTCTTCCAATACATCAAATAATCTCAACAAATAATGCATTCGTTGCATAAGATCGATGCAACATGCAATTTTACTGAGCTCTAAGACTAGTAGCGTTGGAGACACTGATAGAGCACACAACTTGTATTCCCCTTAGTAATGAAACTAACAGATCTTTCTCTGTTTCAATATTCTAATAGTAAAGGAGTTTTGGAATTCCTTAGAAAACTATTTGCAAACGAAATATTTCTCTTACAAAAGCTATTCTACCACCATAGCACCTACAACATCGTTGGACTAAGTCACCAAAAAAAAAGTTTCTCCTTTTTTGGAGAGACTGAGGCCAACGATT